TCGGCGGCACAGGCACAGGGGAGAAGGGGCCAAAGAGAATCCAGGGTCAGTCGGCGGCACTTCCTCCTTATACTGAGCAGTCCGGCGACGTGTGAGCTGGAAAACGAGCAGCATTAGCCTTTATAGCAAAACCATCCTTTGGACAGGACATCTCTAGCTCTGGCCAGTCATGCCAGAAATACACCAGACCAGTGGTCGGCAAACTGCGGCTCGTGAGCCACATGTGGCTCTTCGGCCCCTTGAGTGTGGCTCTTCCACAAAATACCGGCTCTTCCACAAAATACTGACTTCTGCGCATGGGCCACCAAGTTTCAATCGCACTGTACGTGCGCGCCTGCACGTGGTATTTTGTGGAAGAGCCACACTCAAGGGGCCAAAGAGCCGCATGTGGCTCGCGAGCCGTGGTTTGCAGACCACAGCACCAGAGGGCTGGGAATGGATCACTGTAGTCCCTGCAGCCTCCAGCAGGTGGCCTTTCACACGGTAGGTATTAGAGGCAAATCGCTCAACTGAGTTTATGGGGCATTTGCTCTACTGCACGTGAGATGCTTTTCACATTTTTTGGGGAAAATGAATATATATTAAGGATTTATTTATATATTTTAAGTATTTATTTACTTAAACAAATTTTCAGCTTTATTGAGGTATAATTGACAAAACTATAAGCTGTTTAAAGTGTATGACATGATTTGATAGACCCACACATGGTGAAAGGATTCCCCCCAATCGAGTTAACACGTCCAACACCTCACATATTTACTTTTGTTTTGTGAGAATTTACATTTATTCTTAAAACAATTTAAAAAATTAATCTCAGAGAGAGGAAGGGAGAAAGAGAAACATTGATGTATTGTTTCACTTATTTATCCAGCCTTGGTTGACTCTTGTATGTGCGCTGACTGGGGACTGAACGCACAACCTTGGCGTATCAGGAGGACGCTCTAACCAACTGAGCAACCCGGCCAGGGCCACATTTATTCTTATCTAGACCACAACCACAGTTCTGAGAGGTGAATGCTATCCATTCCCATTTTATGGGAAAAGGCACCGAAATTCAATGAACTCCCAAAAGCTGGTTAGGAAGAGATGTCTGGCTTTGGTCTGAGAGAAACTCGAAGCACCCCACAATATTATTTTGCGTGGAGGTCGATTGTCTGCACAGTCAGGACACAGAAGTAGCATCAAGCGTACAACACTGTCCCTGGTCAGGTCTGCAGTTTTGTTAGGACAGTCTTGTGACTGCTGACATAGAACATCTGCCTGCTGTCTGCTACCCAGTGAACGGTTAACTAAGCAGCAAATTAAACTCTCAGTGGATAACACAGCCCAATTTAGCTGGAGTTTAAATAGAGCGAGAGTGAACTACACTGGCAAACTTGACGCCTGATGAAGCTGATGTGAAGTGGCAGCTCCCTACCACACCCTGCCTCTTACCAGTTGCTGGGGTTGCAGAAGTCGTCTGTACAAGCCATTCAGTCATTCATGAGAAAAACCCATCTTTCCCCACAGACCTAGAGCTTAGAAGCAAAGTCACATTTTCCATAAATCCAAGGAGCGTGACCTTCCCGAGGCTGACAGCAACCAGTGAGGTGCAGCTTTTGTCCTACTGCCCTCCGCGCACGTGGCCTGGGGGTCTGCCTGAGTTGTTTTCAGTTCTCTTCTGAATTTTGAGCTTAAACACCAGAGGACTGTGTGCTGTGGGTTCTTACTGAGGTGGCCAAGAATTCTGAGATGCTACACTTAAGGGCAAAGACCCAGTTCTCTAAAATGCCAGTTCAATGCTTGTTCCTTTTTTCCTAGTGACCTTGGCTCCTAGGTGGCAGGGAGCAAATCTCGTCCATCCTTGCACCAGCATGTCACTCTGGGGATGTCGGAGAGTAGTGCTTTCGAATCTTTCCTTTAAAAAGCCAGAAACGCAACCACAAAGCTTGTTAGGCCACACCACGCTGAAGGCGCCTGGTGTGCAAAGCTAAAAGCCAGAGTGCTCATTGGGGCAGTGATGGCGAACCTATGACACGCGTGTCAGAGGTGACACGCGAACTCATTTTTTTGGTTGATTTTTCTTTGTTAAATGGCATTTAAATATATAAAATAAATATCAAAAATATAAGTCTTTGTTTTACTATGGTTGCAAATATCAAAAAATTTCTATATGTGACACGGCACCAGAGTTAAGTTAGGGTTTTTCAAAATGCTGACACGCCGAGCTCAGAAGGTTCGCCATCACTGCCTTAGGGTCATTCTCAGTGAGTCAGACACTCTTCTTCGCCGCCTGCCTCACGACACAAGCAGCCTTGGTTTCCTCACGGCTACAACGTAAAAAGTCGCCTCGGGATTTTCCTAAGAGTGAAAACGGTCTATCCGACATGAAACTGCAGGGAAGATGATGAAGTAAGTATGGTGCATCTATACCACAGAGCACTTAGCCGGCGGTTAGAAAGGCTAAGGTAGAAAATACATTCTATACACACACACATCCATCACTGGATGAACAAAATGTGACACATACACACCATGGGATATTATTCAGCCTTAAAAGGGAAAGTGTCCGTGTAAGTATGTCCAAACCTGTAGAGAATTTAAAAAAAAATTTTGAGTCAAACAGAAGAAGCACCTGGAAAGAAGACCTCAGCGGACAGATAAAGGCTTTGGAGAATAACAGTTTGCAGTTTCTTCTCTGCATCTGATTACAGGAGCATGTAAGATCACTCAAAGGTGGGAAAGAGCAAGATGGGCATCGATTCCAGGAGAGTTCAGACTGTGTTCTTCCGAGGGTGGCCACCCTTTCGAAGAAGGGGTTTGAAAGGGGGCATTTCGAAGGTGTATTCACAGGGTGCACAGGAACAATGGTCAGGGCCTGCTTAAGGCAAAGTTACATGCCCGGGGGATCAGCCCTGTTAGGAATGAGTGATCAGATCGCCCTGTGAGCTTTCTCTCCATAGAGCCCCCTCTCGTCCAGAGGGAATTCTGACACATGCTACAACCTGAATGAGCCTTGAGAACGTTATGCTAACGAAAACGTGCCACAAAAAGACAAGATTGCAGTTATGTGAGGTAAGTCAGAAACAGAAAGTAGAAAGAAGATGGTTGCCAGGAGCTGGGGGATGGGAATGGGGAGTTATTGTTTAATAGGGACAGTTTCAGTTTTGGGTGGTGGTGATGGTTGCACAATAATGTAAGTGTACTTCACACCACGGAACCATACACTTAAAATGGCTAAGATGGTAAATTTTGTTTTACAATAAAAAAAAAGGAAAAATAGAAAGCTGCTAACAGATTGTGTTGTACTGTTTTTGACGAGAAGTTTATGTATGCCACACGTGTATTGACATAAAGATCTGGAAGGAAATTAATATATTAACTGTCAATAGGGGATGCGGGACTTGGGCAGTTGGGGGGAAGGGGGGCTTCCACTTTTTACTTGACCTATTTGTGCACTGTTTTCAATGAGTGTTACTACTCTTGCAGTGTCAGAATCCCAGCAGCAACTGCGGGAATGCATGCTTGCAGTGAGAGGTCCCTTGAGGCCATTTGTGGGACTAACACAGGGATCTGGGTCACTGCTCCAGGCTGGAGGAATCTCAAACCTTGCCTCAATGAGATAAAAAAGACTCACCAAGCCCAGCCAGTGTTGCTCAGTGGTTGAGCATCGACCCATAAACCAGGAGGTCACCCGTTCAATTCCCGGGCAGGGCACATGCCTGGGTTGCAGGCTCTATCCCCAGTGGCGGGGGGTGGGGGTGGTG